CAGCCTGGACTTCTGGCAATTCTCTTTGGGTAATTAACTACTCCAAACAGGTCATGTGTTGGTATCTGGCTCCCAAAGAAAAGTCCTGGTGTGTAGTGTGTGCTGATTTCTGTGATGTGAACACTTCTATTGCAGTGATTTCCAGCTAACAAGAGCTTAACTACTGACTATACTACAATAAGTGTTTGCATGCCACTAATACTAGTCTCTGTTTGAAAGTACTATCTCTTGATGAGTTTTCATGGCCAGAAAGTCAACAGGATGGCTGTGTTACATGTAACCAGGATTTCAGGATCTCCATACTTACAGCTTCCAGGTTTGTGAATAGGGACGGAATCCCACTCTGGTGGAGGAGAGTCCTTTTCACCTTCTGAGCTACTAGTGTTGCCTAGTTCTTGACTATTTGGGAGGAATTTAGCTAGGGTGGGTGGTCTGTTATCCATTAACTTATTGGTACCTGTGTAAAAATCAGAAAGAAAAGATGTTAGTGGAGGACAATTCCTCTCTCTCAGGGCTATTACAACAAAGCTTCTAGTGGGAGTGAAAACAGAGACTTAACCTTATGTATCCTATTTACTACTAATTACTAATCACTCAGAACTATTAACGTAGTAAATCATGAAAATACCCATAAAACCAAAGTAATGATACCTTTTGTTTTCTGGAAATTTCTTGATTTGGATCCACTTGTCAAGGTGGTGGGGAGAGGAATCTTGGTTGGGAGATTTCTACGTTGTTTACTTTCCAACGAGGATGTGTATGCTAGCTCTAAAGAACTGAAAGAATTCAAGATGGGAAATTAAAATGTATCCCTTTGGTTTTAGAACAGAGATGTCATTAGTACTGTAATTACGATTTCAATGTCTGCTTGACAGATTTGGCTTCGGGAAGAGTTCTCGACTCATAGTTTTAAGTTAGGACTGGACACTAGGCACTTGCAATTTACTACCTTTTATTTTTTTGAGTGCTGCTGATGACTGAGGCCCCTATTAGAGAACATGTGCCAGTCAGAGCCCTTACCCTGTGTTGGACACTCACTAGCCCTGAGTCAGCTCTGCCTACAGTGATCCAATGTATCTGAGGCTTACAGTCTTAAAAGGAGGAGCCAGCCCATCTTCCCCGACAGTGCCTGGTGGGTATGGTGGAGAACCTGCCCATCCTTCCCCGCACCCCCCCACCCCCACCCCGACAGCACCTGGTGGATTTACAATGCTGGAGAACAGGAGCCTGCCCATCCTCCCTCTGACAGCGCCTTTTTTACAATGCTGGAGACACACTAGGACTTTTCATTTGCAGTTTAGTGAAAAATGGAGTTGCAGAGGCAAACCTGTTTGTTGCAATGCCCTCCCAACCAGTTCATGGCTGTGGGCAGCAGATGCCTTGGGCTAACTGGGCCAAGAAAGACATTTTCTGGAGAAGGCTGAGAAGGATTCCTCTGAAATAACAGGGATCACTAGGTTTGTTTTGATGACAGAGATGGTGGGGGCTGAAGGCTATGTCCATAGCTTGCTTTTCACTAAAAAGCCACAAAGATGCAGATGTTGTAACATAGGTGCTTAGAATTTTCCCTTTCAGTGCATTTCTAGCCCTCAACACACCATCACTCAGGCTTCCCCTATTCCCATCCTTGGCATACCTCTGCCTAAATGATTTTCACTGCTGACAGTGAAACATTCTCCAAATAATTGAGTGACCATAAACTACATGGTTTGCTTTGTATGACCACTCTTACCACTTTCTAAATTTTCTTCCCTCATTAACATAAACCCATTGATACATGAGGTTCCTATCTAACTTTCCTGTCGCTGTTGTCAGGGATTCCAAGTGGTGCAGTCATTAAAACACCCAACTGCTAAATGAAAGGTCAGTGATTCAAATCCATCAGCTGCTCCAAGGGAGAAAGATAAAGCGGTTTGCTTCCTTAACTATTTAAGGCCTTGGAAATCCCACAGGTGACTCCTCTTTGTCTTGCAAGGTTGCTGTTGAATTTGTATAGGGTATTGCTCTTGTAAATGTGATGACAAATGGATGGTTCTAGAAGGAGCATAATGCCTAAGGCAGACATTTTTAACTATATTAAGTTACACTAGTAATCGAAGAAAAAACCGCAAGACATTTGCAAGAAAAGCCTATCTACACACCAGTTCACCAGGATGCATCACCTTTAGTTGGGAAACATTACGACTAAACTTCAGAGACATTGATCCCAACATAAGGAACTACCATCAGCTGATGTGTTTGGAATCACAGAAGCCATGGAACTTCATATATAAGTTATTAGATGGAGGGCTGGTCAAAGGGAGATAGATGTGAAGGGAGGGGGTAGAAGTGGCTGGG